GTGAACATGTTTAAGGTCGTCTTCACAGATTCAGATTTGATAGTGCACAAATCCACGCAAAAGAAAACCAATTCCTTTCAAGGATGATTCGCGAGTTTATTGAAATTAAAAAAAAACATACAAATTTAATAAAGGAGCTGGGTGCTACCATCTGCTTGGGATCCTATAATTAATTAAATTAAATCCTATCCCAAGCATACCACTGCAAGATTTCAAGATACTGTAAACTCGTTCTGCGTAGAGCAGACCAAAATTTAATATTCAAAAGCTGAAAATGACCCAGGCTACCTATGTCAAACACCTCGGTTCTTCCCCTTACGCCCCTCGCTCTTCGTCACTCTTTGTTAATAAATAGCATAGCAAGCTTATCAAATGGCCCTATTTCAAATTACAAGCTGCTAGCATTATGAGTTACGCTTTGAATAAATCTTTCAATCACTCAAGCAACGTACTAAGCTAAATGAGATTCTAAGGCAGATGTGTTTTATGTAAATATATTAAGAAACATAATATATCTCTTTCCTGTAAAAAAATATATTTCTGATTAATATTATGAAAATGATAGTGATTGTTGCCGAGTTTCGATCACGGCAACAATTTCTGAATAAACAGAAACTATCAACTGCCCAGTACTAAACATAGCGACGAACCCAGAGATACTAAGTTGTCATAACCTATCAGTGCCTGACCTTAAATTATAAAATCGCATGTAGACTAGGGCGTAGTAGCAGAGCATATACGCGTGAGGTTATTATTTGCAGAAAAAGTGATCATACTCCCCTTTATCAGAACATAGTGTTTAATTTTCTCGAACGACCATATTATTCTCAATATCTGGCTGGCTTGAAAGCAATATTAAAACAAAAATGTTTTAATGAATTTTAAGATTCCAAGTGGCCTAGATGTGTTTATCCTCGATTTAGAATCAAAACGCAGAAGCGTTACCATCCCTGAGAACTAAAATGTAATGCCTTCTTTCCAGTGAAAAGGTTATCTGGTTCTCTACACTCAAGATACATAGCAGCATGTTATGTACCTTACGAAACACAACAGCATTGAGCTGCTATTTTACACTGGTATTCTGCGAAAGCCGATCCAGATGCAACCATAATATACCAAATATAATAAGCTGCAGGGTGGCTCTACCACGTGTAGAGATGCTGTGTAACTTTACTTTTTACTTAAAGCGGCCATTATTAGGTTTTTTTTTATTATACGTGGTAGCTTTCGTATTTTTATTGTAACATAGACCAAAATTTGCAAAAGGGCAAAAAATGGTTAAATAGATTTAATGAAGTTGGGTAGATGTATTGTATATTGTGTGTCTTGTATGTTTAATTTTGTTTCATTTAATAAAACTACATTAAAGTATGCTTTAATGTACGTGTTAAATTGTCAATTAATATTCGATAGTGTTTCATTATCATGCAATTTTGCAGCTGTTGGCTTTATGCCATTGTGTTATGCAAATGACTTATGTAAATTCCTTTCGACTTTGCATACGCTTGTTGGTACAGGTATCGTCCCTTATTTTTCAGCCGACTTCAAAAAAGGAGAAACATCTCATTTCACCGATCTTCATTCGAGTGTATTTCCTTTTTTGTCACGTTTGTTACTCTATACATTCGTCAATTATAAACCAGTTTAAATCGTACTTATTTTTATTAAATAGTACTACACCTCAAGGATGGTGGCAAATATAAGTGGAAAAAATATAATTTAAAGAAAAACCTCCACTTCTAAGGACGGAATAATAGACTGTTTCTATTTAGATAACATTACAGCTTTTGAAATTCCTTGATCCACTTAAAAGGGTAAGAAAATATAATTTTAATTAAAAGTAAAGACCAACAAGTAACTAAAAAGAATGAAATATTTGGTCTGAAAAGTTTCCGACCTAACAAAGATACAAGACATTTTTATTTTTTTTTCTACATAGTCTCCTTGTAACTTTACACAATATAGCTGTATGGAGCGTGCTAATAACCAAGCTCTCTCAATATTTGCTGAGTGGCCAAATATGTGTATGGTCAGGCGTTATCATGATGAAAGACTACTCCTTTTCTGTTGGTCAAGTCCGGAGGATTTTCCTCAATTTTTTGCTTGATTCTCATTAGTTGTTGGCAGTAGAGATCCGAGTCGATGGTTTTACCCGGCGGTAAAAGCTCATAATAAACGATGGCCTTCCAATCCCACCATACACACAGCATCACCTTATTGCGTGTTAATTCAGACTTCGCTACAGTCTGTGGATATTCACAACCTTTTGACCATAATTTTTTTCGCACATTCTTGTCGTAGGTCCTAAATATTTTTCGTTACTTATTTGTTGTATACGTATATTATTAACTGTAAGAGGTTCATGTGGTGGTATAAGTTTATTTTTAGCTCTAAAAATGATGTATGATGTTTTATATTCATTTATAGTTAGTAAATTGTGTTGAAACCAAATGGATAGAGTATTTAAATATTTTTGAGCCTGATTAATAAGTGTTTGTATTGATGAGCCGAAATAAAATAAATATGTGTTGTCAGCGTAAAAGGTGATATGCCCGCGTAAGTCAAGTTGCTAGACGTTGTTTATGTAAACAAGGAAGAGTAATGGTCCCAAAATAGACCCTTGTGGAACTCCACATATAACAGTCAGTGCCTTACTTTGATTTTCGGCTACTTTGACTACTTGAAATCTATTGTCAAGATAAGATTGGAACATTTTTAAGGCACTGCCATTGATCCCTATACTAGAAAGTTTTTGGAGAAAAAGTTTGTGAATTACGTTAATTAATTGTGAAAGCTTTTTTTTAAATCAATGCATATACCTAGTGCTATATTTCTACTATCAATACTGTGCTTGATTTTAGTAACTAGGTCAATTGTAGCAGATAATGTACTGCTCTTTGGTCTAAAGCCATATTGTCGATCAGAAATAAAATTTATTGTTACTAAATAATTGTATAGTCTGTTGTATAAAATTCTTTCCAGAACCTTAGATAGAACGGGCAGCACGGAAATGGGACGGTAGTTGACAGGGTCTATTTTGGGGTCTGACTTGTATGTAGGTGCGACTTTTGCAACTTTTAATGTGTCTGGGAATGTTCCAACTAATAGTAATTTATTGAAGCACTGTGTTAGATGAATAACTATTTGATTGGTTGCACATTTGATTACTTTGGTGCTTATGCCATCTATTCCAATATTGCAGTTATTGTCAAGATATGCTATTATTTTTGTTATTTCATTATTTGTACATGGTTTTAAAACAGAGAAATCCGACATGTTTTGATAAGAAATTTTAGGTAGAACGTAAGAAAAATCATTCTGATGAATTTTGGGAATATTGTTTGCTAGTGATGGTCCTATGGTAGAGAAATATTCATTAAATATTTCACAGATTTTATAGAATCAGATATATGTTTACTATCTATTAGGAGTTTTGGAGGAACGCTAGCTTGTTTTATTTTATTACTCGACAAATGATTGATGAGTTCCCACATTTTTTTTGGCTTATTACTACACTTCACAAATTCTTAAATAAAACTAATTTTACGGATTTAATCGCGTATATTAACTTATTTTTATATTCCCGATGTTTTAGGTGCTTTGCAGCACCCGTGGTCACGGGGGACTGAGGTGTTTGACGTCCTGCTGTCATAGTTAGCCCGGCTACCTTCAGTTTTTTAATATTAATTTTTGGTTCGATTTACGCAGAATGAGCTTACAGTATCTTGAAGTCTAGCAGTGGTATACTTGGGTTTGGATTTGATTTTATTAATTATGGGATCCCAAGCAGATGACAGCACCCATACATCAATAGAGAAGATGGATGGGTGCTGCCATCTGCTTGGGATCCCACAAATTATTTTAAATAGTAGTAATTTTTAGTGTTTTGTATGAGTCTTGACACATAGGAACTCTTTGCCTCGAAATCCGTCTTTAAATTATCATAATTATGATTTTTCTTTAGTTGAGCCCATAGGATATTTCTTTGCTGTATTTTATTAATAATTTCTTTGCTTATCGAATCTTCTTGTGGAAAATTTAAGATTTTGGTTTTTAATGTTTTACTTTTATCAATTAATGTTTTCATGTAGTTTTCAAACTTTGTGTAGTCTTGAATTAGATTCTCAAACTCCGCTGTGGCCATTAAAGTTGTCAGCTTTTTATAATCTATGGCTTCATATTGAGTGCGTACTTTAGCTGGAGGCTTTACTTTCTTTATTTCCAAATATAGATGTTTATGATCTGATAGAGGGGATTCAATTATAGCAATATGAAAAACATATTTTTTTAAATTCATACTGATATGATCTATAATTGATTTTTTAGACGTAGAGTCTCTAAGAGAATCTAAGCCCGGAACTCTGTAATATTTTCCTGCATCTTGCTCAAAATTTGTTCATTTGATTCGATATATTTTTCTAACAAGGTACTAACTAGATTTAGTTCTATACGCATTTCTTTAAGTTCATAGGAACATCCAAAATCGCTGTCAATTGGCTGTTTTCGCTTGCGAAGCGTTATTTGCGGAACATCGGTTCCACAACTTTCCACAACTCATTTTCGATAAGTCCGGTTGCAATCCACCGCTCGTTGGCATGCGTTTTTGTGGTGATCTTTGTACATTCATTATAATATTACGCATACAGTGGTCAACCGCAGTTTATCAATTCACTGTATGCAAAGTTTATGCAGAGCGCCCTTATGGACTAGTAAACGTTTATTGCGTATATTTGCGTGAAGTACTGTACTTAGTGTGCGGCGTATCGGTGCGGGAAAGAGTTAAAAAATAGCAACTCACTGCTTTCGCAGGGGTGAGGATGCGTCGCAGCGCTAGCGCTGAGCGCGTTTAAGGCCCTTCTCCCATTACGATACTTGTAAGGTACGATACTCGAGTAGAATACTAGTTGGATACTTGTTCGCTACCCGACGCTCGCATATTATGCTACTGAAAAATGACTAAATTTATCATTTGTGCAAACTCGTTTTTGTGGACGGACGTTATGTCGAGCGATTCTAGTGACGAAGAAGCACTTGCAGCTTTTCTGTTTTATAGAAACAGAAGACGTCAACGCAAGAGTAGAAAATACTGGATTCATCCATATATTGAAAGAAACATAAATTGTAGAGTTTTTGTAGCCGCACAAGAACTACAACATGATGATAATAAATTTTTGTCTTTCTACCGAATGTCTAAAGAGACCTACCTGCATCTTGTTACATTAATAAAGCCTGCTATACATCAACGAAATACTATATTTAGAGAGTGTGTTAGTGCGGAAGAAAGGATTCTGATAACCCTAAGGTAAATAATACTCCATTGTTACATATGTAATTAAAAATGTATATTAAATTTTTAGTATGAATCAATCAATCATCAAATTAAAACATAGGCTATTTCAATCAATTATAAAAATTATTACTTATTCTTCATCTTCCTGTGATAAAAACATAGGTATTGATTCATAATATAGTGTGGCAGTATTTGATTGTACACTTTCATTTATGGTATTTGGCGTACTTATTGCCCTGTCAGTCGGTGAAGGAGTAGATAAAAGTGTGATGGGACTACTTTGGTCCATAATATCGTCTATCAATTCAAGCACTCTCCTCTTAAACAGTCTTCTTTGATTATCATTCAATTTATTCACGTCCGACAGTAAACTCAGTAAAAACATTTTGTTTGAATTTTCAGTACTGTCACAGTTTTCTATAATTTTAGATCGTTTCAATTTAAAATAAGCTGCAATATCTTGCTCAGCTTGAGTTTCTTCAAGCTTCTTCCGTTTTCCTTTATTGCTTGTTGCTGGTGGTAATTGGTGTCGCAAGATTGATTGAGTGCTTGTTGGAGGAAGAGATGAATGCTGTTGTGAGATTGATTGAGTGCTTGTAGAAGGAAGAGATGATTGCTGTTGCGAGATTGATTGAGTGCTTGTAGAAGGAAGAGATGAATGCTGTTGCGAGATCGATTGAGTGCTTGTAGGTACACTTTCTGTGAACTGTGTTTGTTCGCATAGTTCAGGAGACTGTGGTTGCAATGTGTCATTATCTTCTATTGTCTCGTTCAAATTTCCTGATGGTTTTCCTGCTGTTTTTATGAACGGTATAGTAAATTGCATAAAATCAGCTAAGTAGTATGGTTTTTTTTGCGCAGTCCCTGCTCCACTTTTAGGCGGTTTCAAATGGCGAACAAAAACACTACGTAGATTTTTCCACTTTTCTTTAGCTTCTGATCCTGAAAATAACCTTAATATTAATTGTTATTAATTACAGATATTTGGGATCAGGTTGTTCATTTGTAAGCCTAGGATTGTATTTTGCAAGAGGAGATAATACAATTTGCAAGGTCATAGCTGAAACTACAGTTATAATATGGGAGATATTAAATAGAGACTATATGCCATTACCAAATGTGCAACATTGGAAAGACATTGCTGCTCGTTTTGATCGCCTCTGGAATTTACCCAACTGCTTAGGGGCATGTGATGGTAAACACATCAGAATAGAAAAATTACCTAATTCGGGATCAAGTAATTTTAATTACAAATCCTACCATTCGATAGTATTAATGGCATGTTGTAATGCCGATGGATTATTTACTGTTATCGAAACTGGCTATGCTGGTAGGAACAGCGACGGTGGAATCTTCAGTGCTTCCAGGATCAAACGTTGGATTGAACATGGACGTCTTAATATTCCTTTACCTTCCAAACTTCCTAATGACCCATCTAACTATGAATTTCCATACTATTTTATTGGGGATGAGGCATTTCCCCTTCTATCTTACTTCATGAGACCATATCCCCAAAGAACCTTAAATGACTTGAGAAGGTCATTTAACAGTCAGGTAAACAGTGGTAGAGCCAAGCGGTAGCTTTTGCTGTCGCACGGATGGGCCAGCTCGAACCGGGGTGGTACCACGACCTCACAGAATACCAGCGTGAAGTAGAGGTTTACCTCTGCGTTGCGTTTGGTGAGTGCAGGTGGCCGGAGGCCCAATTCCCCCCCCCCCCCCCCATCAACATGGTAGTGGAATTAAATACAAGACTACCCCAGGAGGGTACCAGCAACCCTGGAGAATCCCTCGCTGAGCATCCACGAACAAACTACTTCACTCCTGAGCGTGGGTGCTCAGGCTGCCCCGCGTATTCTGGGGGGGGCAAAATTCCGCTCGTGACTAATGCTGCTCGGGGCAAGCGGAGCAATACAACCAAGGCGACCCCTGTCACGCTATCCGTGAATTTTTGCAACATCAGGGGACTTCATTCCAACCTTAACGCTGTCCATTACCATCTAGAGACGGCGAAGCCGGCCTTGCTCTTTTTAACCGAGACTCAGGTGTCCTCTCCGGCTGATACTTCATATCTCTCCTACCCGGGGTACAAATTGGAACACTCCTTTGTGCCCCGGGCTGGAGTTTGTGTATACGTCAGAGAGGACATCTGTTTTCGACGCCTCGGCAGCCTTGAAGGTACGGACCTGTCCATCCTATGGCTGCGCGTAGACAGCGACGACCATCCCCGCGTCTACGGGTGCCTCTATAGGTCCCATAGCGGTAATGCCGACACAGACCGACTCATCGACCACGTCCAAATGGCTGCAGACTCCGTGCTACAACAGGTCCCATCCGCAGAGATCGTGATACTCGGTGATTTCAACGCCCACCACGCTGAATGGCTTGGTTCTCGTTCAACCGATCATGCGGGTAGATCTGTCTACGACTTTGCTTTGGCATATGGTCTAACACAACTGGTTACTTCGCCTACGCGGATCCCAGATGTGGAAGACCATGTACCTTCCCTGTTGGACCTTCTGCTGACCTCTCATCCGGACGGATATCAGGTCTCCGTCGATGCCCCTCTGGGCTCTTCGGACCATTGTCTGATCCGGAGCACAGTGCCACTCACGCTCCAATCGCAGTTGCGATCTACAGCTTGCCGCCGTGTTTGGCACTATAGGTCAGCTGATTGGGACGGGATGCGGTCTTTTTTTGCATCCTACCCTTGGGGGCGGGTTTGCTTCTCGCCGGAAGATCCCAGCGTTGTTGCCGATTCTGTTGCTGATGTGGTACTTCAGGGTATGGAACTTTTTATTCCATCCTCTGTGGTGCCCATCGGAGGCAGATCCCAGCCATGGTTTGGTCGCTCCTGTAAAATAGCATCACGCTATAAGCAGGAGTGCTACCGGGCCTGGGCTGACGCATCAACGTCTCGGGATTTAAACACCAGCGCACTTAAAAAGAAGTATAATTCCGCCTCCAGGTCCTTCAAAAGCGTCATTGCCAAGGCAAGGTCTGAGCACATCGGCAGAATTGGCGAGAAGCTGGTTCGCCTTCCTTCGGGAACCCGTGCATTCTGGTCTCTCGCCAAGGCTGTCCAAGGGAACTTCTGTCAGCCATCCCTCCCATCTCTGCACAGAGAGGACGACTCACTGGCCCATGCCGCAAAAGAGAAAGCCGATCTGTTGTGCTCTCTTTTTGCGTCCAACTCGACTCTAGATGACGGGGGGAACACACCGCCGACCATCCCGCGATGTGAGTGCTCCATGCCGGATGTGCGATTTACACAGCGCTCGGTTCGCAAAGCACTCTTCTCCCTGGACGTCAGCAAGTCGAGTGGGCCCGATGGAGTCCCTCCCATTGTGCTGAAGACGTGTGCTCCGGAGTTGGCACCGGTTTTAACGCGTCTTTTCCGGTACTCCTACTCCCAAGGCGTAGTCCCGAATTCATGGAAGACAGCTTTGGTCCACCCGATCCCTAAAAAAGGCGACCGCTCAGACCCGTCCAACTACAGGCCTATCGCCATCACCTCCTTGTTCTCCAAAATAATGGAATCCATTATAAACTGCCAGCTCATGAGGTACCTTGAGGATCACCAGCTGATCAGTGACCGTCAGTACGGTTTTCGTCGGGGTCGATCAGCAGGTGATCTTTTAGTGTACTTAACTCATAGATGGGCGGAGGCAGTAGAGTCCAAGGGGGAGGCATTGGCCGTTAGTTTGGACATAGCGAAGGCCTTCGATCGGGTCTGGCACAAGGCGCTTCTTTCGAAGCTTCCTTCCTATGGGCTTCCCGAGAAATTGTGCAAATGGATCACCAGTTTCCTTGCTGATCGGAGCATCAAGGTCGTAGTAGACGGTGCTTGCTCTGATTACAAGCCTATCAACGCTGGTGTTCCACAAGGCTGCGTGCTATCACCAACGCTGTTTCTCCTGCATATCAATGATATGTTGCTAACTGGTAGCATTCATTGCTATGCAGACGACAGCACTGGGGATGCCTTATATACCGGCCGTGCCAATATTTCTCGGGAAAACGTCGCCGAGTACCGGGACAAACTTGTGTCTGAAGTCGAGTCTTTGCTTAACAAAGTCTCGGATTGGGGCCGACTAAATCTAGTCCAGTTCAATCCCCAGAAGACACAAGTTTGCGCGTTTACCGCTAAAAAGAACCCCTTTGTCGTATCTCCTCAGTTTCAAGGCACTCCCCTTGCTGCCTCAGCCAGTATCGGAATCCTTGGCGTCGACATATCGAATAGCGTGCAGTTTCGTGGTCACTTGGAAGGGAAGGCCAAATTGGCCTCTAAAAAGCTTGGCGTGCTCAGCAGAGCGAGACAGTATTTCATGCCGGCACATCGCTTGCAACTTTACAAAGCGCAAGTTCGGCCCCACATGGAATACTGTTCTCATCTCTGGGCCGGGGCACCCCAGTGCCAGCTCCTTCCACTTGACCGCATCCAGCGCAGAGCGATTCGAATCGTCGACGACCGAGTTCTTTCCGATCGGCTCGATACACTGGCACTGCGCAGAGATGTTGCATCTCTTTGCGTATTTTATCGCATCTATCACGGGGAGTGCTCTGAGGAATTGTTCGGACTAATTCCAGCCGCTCAATTTCACCATCGCACGTCGCGACAAAACTCGCGTTACCATCCATACCATCTGGATGATTGGCGGTCCACCACTGTGCGATTTAGAAGAAGTTTTCTCCCTCGCACAACTTCTTTGTGGAATCAATTACCACCAGCGAATTTTCCGAACCGATACGACTTAGGAACCTTCAAGAAAAGAGCTTACACCTTTCTAAAAGGCCGGCAACGCATCTGCAATTCCCCTGGTGTTGCGGTTGTTCATGGGCGGCGGTAGTCACTTAACATCAGGTGAGCCGCATGCTCGTTTGCCCCCTATTCTATAAAAAAAAAAAAAAAAAAAAAAAAAAAAGGGTGTTTAACTACAGAATAAGCCGAGGGAGGAATACAATTGAATGTGCTTTTGGAATGATGACTGAGAAATTTCAAGTATTAAGTACAGCTATAAGATGTCATACAATAGAAAAAGTATCAAATATAATAAAAGCAGTGTGTATTTTACACAACTTTGTTCGACAACATGAGGGTATTCTATATAGTCCAAGGGAGGTAATACAAAACAGATCGGTCACTATTCCCGTTACTATGACTATACAACCTCAAAATATAGAAATAACTGCAACTATGTCACCACACAACCAACGAAATTATTTAGCAAACTACTTTATATCTGAGCAAGGTTCATTGCCTTGGCAATACCAATACTGTTTACAAAATACAATGTAACATTGATTAATAAACTACTTATTATGTATAAACAAAACAAACCTGTTATTTGAAATTTATTCCCAATTTCTGCCCAAGTCCTATCTATTGTATTTTTCCGCATGTATTCTGGTAATTTGTAGTTATATAAACAAGCATGTTTTTCAACTTCTTGTACAAACTTAATATTTATTTCTTGCTCCGCCGCCATCTTGTCGAGACGCACAGGAGACGCGACGCACAAGCGACCAACACAGCGAGTCGCGCGATACTAGTCGCGGACGCGTAGGATACCAGTAGCGTAGTGTGCGAGCCTGCATTCAAATGTATGTGAGATACTTGGCGGCGACTAGTCGCCAAGACTTGCAGGATACTTGAATCGCCTGTGCGTATCGTAATGGGAGAAGGGCTTAATTGTTTTTGACGCGCAGGCACAGAAACAAAACGATGTATTGACCGATTAGCAATTAACACAAATCATATTCACTGGTAACTACTTAGAGACTTTTTTGCAACAACACTTGTGGAGGGAAAGTAAGCACACGTTTGCTCTGAGAGACGAACGAACGACGAGTTTTTAAGTTTTTATGTCTATTCAAGCATTGAAGATGTAGAAATGTTGAAAATCTAAAATAGATTGATTGTGTTCTTTTTTTAAGAACAAAATAAATTATTAAATTTTTAAAAAAATCTAAAATTAAACCTTTAAAATTTAAACATATCTGAAAAAGTCATGTATATTGAAAATTCTCCGTTCGCTCGCCTTTTATACGTACTTATAAAATCGGGTTTAATCCACGTTACTACCAATGAAATTGTTAATTGCAATTTTGAGTGTTATTTACCACTTACTTGAAGGTAACTAAAACATTGTGATAAAACTGTATGTATGAGAAATAATTAAAAAATGTCAGTATGTAGCGTCCACCAACAAACACTGGGCCAGCCTTTCCGTGGTCAACTCATGCTCTTTCTTTACCTTAAATAGGTTAGGTAAAAATAATTATAGAAATTTAATAATTGCGACAAGCTCTTTTCTTATTTACTTTTTAACTATTTTAACATACCAACGTTTTGATAAAAACCATGACTGTAATTACGGTACTTCATTATATGCAAAGCTATGTCTATACTTTATTTTTTCAGTTATTTACTTTGTCTTTCATACTCTCAATACTACGTCATTATCTCAAGGGATATGATAAGGCCGATGTGAAGAAAACCAAGCGATATTTGGGTCACTAAAATATCAGCCGATAAGGTTATGTAAAGTTGACAACGACATTAACATTCGAAAACCTTAGGTAGAGGTTTCGTATTTTAACGTCCCAAACTTAATGTTTCCTTTCCTTTTATGTAGTATGTGTTTAATAAATTGCTTGTATATATAAAATTGTGTTTTTTTTATATATGATAGGGTGACAAACGAGCACACAGTCCACCTGATGGTAAGTGGTTGCAGTAGCCCATAGACAGAATGCAGAGCACTTTTCGTCAGTTATAATATTATGTGTACTAGACAGTTAATCATGAGTATTTGATTAACTGTCTAGTACAGTTAATTATGAGATTTTCAGTATTGCAATGGCAAATCCGCTTACCAAACGCGGCAGTGACGTAATTTTTATAAATGCATACAAGTAAATATTATCATCATCATCATTACAGCCCTTCACAAGTCCACTGCTGAACATAGGCCTCCCCCAAAGAATGCCACAAAGCATGGTCCTGAGCCACCTGCATCCATCGACTTCCTGCATGTCTTACCAGGTCGTCACTCCATCTCGTGGGGGGACGCCCTACACTTCGCCTACCGGTACGAGGCTTCCACTCGAGAACCTTTCTTCCCCATTGGTTGTCGGTTCTTCGAGCTATATGGCCAGCCCATTGCCACTTCAGCTTACTAATCCGTTGGGCTATGTCGATTACTCTGGTTCTACTGCGGATATCCTCATTCCTAAGTTTATCACGCAGAGAAACTCCGAGCATAGCCCTCTCCATAGCTCGCTGAGCGACCTTGAGCTTCCTCATCCGGCCAGCAGTGAAGGACCACTTCTCAGTTCCGTATGTCAACACTGGCAACACGCACTGGGTGTACAGTCTCGTTTTCAAGGTTTGAGGTATACCTGACGAGAAGATGTGCCGTAATTTCCCGAACGCTACCCAACCGAGTTGAATCCGTCGATTGACCTCTCGGTCGAAGTTGGACTTACCTAGTCAGACTATTTGTCCCAGGTAAACATACTCGTCAACAACTTCGAGCTTAGTGTTCCCAACAACTACCGGCATAGGTGTGACATGGACATTAAACATGATCTTAGTTTTGTCCATGTTCATCTTAAGACCTATCCGTTGGGAAACACTATTGAGGTCATTGAGCATAGTGCTTAGGTCCTCCAGCGATTCTGCCATAAGGACTATATCGTCGGCAAATCGAAGGTGAGTGATGTACTTGCCATTGATGTTGATACCGTATCCTTTCCAGTCAAGAAGCTTGAAAACGTCTCCAATGCAGCGGTGAAGAGTTTCGGGGATATGACGTCACCCTGTCTTACACCTCTCTGCAATTGGATATGTTTCGTACTCTGGTTCTGTACTCGGATAGTCATCATACCCTACTATCATGCCCTACTTTACAAGTACTTCAACACTTCGATATACCGACAGTCAACTTGGCACCGCTGAAGGGACTGCAGCACCGCCCAAATTTCGACGGAATCAAAGGCTTTCTCATAGTCCACATACGCCAGACATAGTGGCAAATTGTACTCTTCGGACTTCTGTACGATTTGCCGAAGGGTATGTATGTGGTCTATGGTGCTAAAGCCCTTTCGGAAACCGGCTTGTTCGGGAGGCTGGAAGTCGTCAAGTTTGCGCGCAAGACGATTCGTAATGACTCTCTAAAACAGCACGTAGACGCGGCTCAGAAGGGAAATCGGTCTGTAGTTCTTCAAGAGAGCGTTGTCACCTTTCTTGAAGAACAAGACCACCGCACTTCTGCTCCATGCCTCCGGTGTAATGCCACCATGAAGGACGGAATTAAAGAGCCTCTGAAGGACTTCAAGTACCGGTTTTCCACCCGCTTTCAGAAGCTCCGCTGCAATTCCATCCTCGCCTGGGGCCTTACCGTTTTTAAGGTGCTGGAGAGCCATTCTAATCTCGCTCAGACTGACGTCCGGGGTATCTTCGGAATAGTGTCGGATGAGACTCGCTCTTGGATCGTTACTCACACTTGCGTGTGGCTCCAACGATGACGTGTACAACTGCCCATAGAACCTCTCAATCTCTCTCAAAATTTAGGTGTCCCGGAAACGATGCTGCCACATTCTGTCTTCAGCTTTGACAGTTGGCTCTTTCTGGCATACAGATCTCTGGCAAAGACTTTGGAGCCTTGGTTCCGCTCGATCGCTTCTTCAATACGAGCTGTATTGAAGTTGCGTAAGTCCCGCCGCATGCATTTGGAGATCTGTCTGTTCAGATGCCTGTATGCTGTCAAGTCTGTTGAAGAATGTAGCTTCATCTCCCGTCTAACAGCCATGAGATTAAGAGTGTGATCGGAGAGTTTTTGTGTTCTTCTGCGGCGGGTCTTGCAGAACTTAACTCCGACCGCATGGACAGTTTCCACGAGCTTGTCATTCATATCGTCCACTTCATTGCAGTCTTTTAGGCACTGAAAACGGTTTTGTAACTCGAGCTGAAAGGTTTCGGGACTTTGGATTAGAGCACGAGGGGGACGGAGCGTTGACTTCATTAGACGAGACCTCTCCAACTTAACGTTTAGGTTCAGTGTGCCTCTAACCATTCGGTGATCGCTACCAGTTTTCACCCTCGCGATCACGGAGACATCACTGAACAGTTGTCGTCTGGTCGTCATAATGAAGTCAATCTAATTTTTTGTCGAACCGTCGGGGCTCGACCAGGTCCACTTCCTGTGGGGCCGCTTCTGGAAGAAAGAGTTGATCATAAAGAGTCCCTCTTTCTCCATGAAGTCGGCCAGCTGCTGGCCCCTTGGGTTCCGTTGCCTTATTCCAAATTTCCCTACTTTCAGCTCACCGTTCTCTCTTGTGCCTAGTTTTGCATTAAAGTCTCCCATTAACACCGTATATTGGGTTTTGGAGGAATGCATGGCAAATATACTTATATTATTTTACAGGAATTTCTTTAGTATCGGATAGGCATTTTAATAAATTGCATGATCGGAAAAACAATTATTGTAGATCACTCTGATCAAAAATATAATCGTACTCGTAGCACTAAAAAAGAGCTTAAAGTTGTCGAAGTGATTACCAAAGCTTAAGAGTAATAATTCCAAGAGTTTTAAATATTGTTTGTACGAAGAAAAAACGGTGATTTAACTTAAGTGCTTATTACATTATCCAATTTTTAGAAAATCTAATTAGGAACCTAAATTGGAAGCTAGTGATCACATTACACTAAATTGAATTCTAAATCGTGACGAAGCACATTCGTAAAAGAAGTATCGACGGGGTTGCACGTTTGATCGATGGCGCCGTATTTATCAAAACAGCAGAAAATAGGACTTGCCTTAGCCGTGGTGGGAACAATGGATATTAAAAAAAGATAAAAGAGAATATGCTGGGTTAAGGAATACTTGTCATGGTATTTGTAAATATTTAACAACACCTTGAAGCCCTATTCACGCATTGTTTTTTTTAAATAGTTTTCATAATTTTTATTATACAAATAGGGCATTTACCCTATACAGGTCTATAATTTGTAATAACACTTCTTTTTCTGTGGACATGCTGCCACACGAACCACTGCTCAGTTCTGTCGCTTCGATTAACGTTGCGATTACACTGTCCTAAATTGTAGACAATTTAGAAAGTAGAGCGGTCGGGACCTTTAACTAAATCGGATCCTAACTTTTCTAACTATGATTACACTTTCCAACTTCCTAATTAGATTTCCTAAAAATTGAATAATGTAATAAGCCCTTTAGACCTAAAGGATGATAATACTAAATTATATTATTTAAATGCTTTATTTATGATTATCAT